GCAATGTCCAACTGTCCTGAGCGCGTTCACAACATCCGGCGCGTGACATCAAATAAATACGGTCGGGCAAAAAATTCCATGTTGTCTGATGATATATCAAAATCGTCTTCCATTGTGATGACCTGTATTTCTAAATATCTTTAGATCATCGCAGTGCCAGTGAACACGTCCGCAATCTCTATATTGCGGAATACGCAATCTCTACGTATACGTGCGACAGATTGCTTCCGCACATGCATCTACTATCATAGATATGTATAGATTCCCTATTCGACCGCTCCAGATACGTTGGGGCGTCCGCCATTTTGGAACATAGAAACAGTCACTAATGAGGCATCTACTTATATATATCTATGTCTACTATGCCAGAGCACGTACACGCGTCAGATTTTGTGAACGCGCTCAGTACAGTTGGACATTGCGGTGGATCAGAGGTAAAAAATTATATAAATACTGTTCAGTTTCTTGCACAGACCGATCGTTTCGTGTCTTAAGACCTCAATGTATCGTCACAAGCCGCAGGGTTTAATTTGGTTTTGTCTGTGTATGTTTTTTTTACTCTCAAAGCCGTGGAGCCCATTGACTGCCATTATATGACTGACTGCAACGGTTTGAGTTAAAAATCTTCGTTTGTGTTCTACTGAAGAAACAAAGTCACCTACATCTTGGATGCCCTGGGGGTAAGCAGATAAACATCAAATTTTAATTTTTGGGTGAACTATCCCTTTAAAACTTATTTCATTAGACATCATCCAATCCACAACAGCATGCGGAAGCAATGGGAAAACCAGCAGACTTGGAAATGAACAGGCTGGGTTGTGGGGTGGCCGGGGTTTGACGGGGGAATCTAATAAGCCCTTCACTCTGGGATGCACAGGCTAGCGATCCGCGAGGCTGACCTTTGGGTTGGCGGCATCGAGGTTTAGCTGCATCAGCTGTGCGAGCGTGTGCTCACGGAGGCTGTTGAGCTCGGCCTGCTGCCGCCGGAGTTTGATGAGCAGCAGGGTCAGTTCCTCTGGCTGCAGCGGGCGACAGGAGCAGCGGTTAGTGTGGGCCGTCATGAAGGGGGTTATGGGGGAAATCGGGCCATGTTTGAGAAAGAGGATGTGTCGAGTTGAGTTGAGTTGAGTTCTTCAGACATTGCATGCCTGGTGTGCTGGATAGACTGACATAAACCTGTGATATCTAATCAACATGATTAAGCAGCTAAGATGCACAATCTAGTTTAGTAACCATGAATAACCAGGTTCTGTTGAATTTCTGGTTTGAATTTCAATTTTCTTTTCAAGAATGGAAAATCAAGCACAACAAAATTACTGAAACATTAAAATTAAAATAGAAAAAATATATACTGTATATAAAAACAAAAGCTAATTCAATACTATATAAATACTATAGTAGTATAAATAATATGAATAAGAAAATCTGTAAATAAATAATTGGAAAATATATATACAATACAAACAAACATATATAATCAAGCACAACAAAAGTAATAAAACAAATTAAAATATAAAACTAAACGTTATAGTTATTTTTAAATAATAATAAATACTACAATAGTATACAAGTAAGTTTAAGTTTGGGTTTAAGTTTAAATGTGCTTTACTAATAATATCTACTATGTAATACTATACTAAATAAATAGTATATAAATAATAGGAAGTAAAACAAATAACTAGAAGGTATATGTATTTACAAACATACATTTACTGTAATTAAGCACAAAAAAAACGTAAAAAAAAGTTTAAAATTAAAAATCTAAAAATAAAAGCTAATTCTAAATATTAATAAATACTACAATAGTATAAATAATATAAATTTAAAAATCTGTAAATAAATAATTGGAAATTATATATGCAAACATACATATATATTCAAGAACAACAAAATTAATAAAACAAATTATATATAACTAAATATACAAAATAGAAAACTAAACGTTATAGGTATTTTAAAATAATAATAAATACTACAATAGTATACAAGTAAGTTTAAGTTTAAATTTGCTTTTAAAAATGGAAAATCAAGCACAACAAAATATCTAAAACTTAACATAAAACAATTTTTTTTAAAAATATTAATACATACTAGGTAATACTATACTAAATAAATAGTATTAAAGAATAAATAATAGGACATAAAAAAAATCTGTAAACAAATAACTAGAATGCATACGTATATACAAACATATATATATATATATATATGAAAAGAAAGTCTTAAAGAAAACTTAAATGAAAATTCTGTCATCATTTACTCGCCCTTATGTCTTTCTAAACCTGTTCTTTCTTCAGAGGGACACAAAGGGTGATATATATACATATATAATTAAGTACATAATATAATACATATATAAAAAACACATATATAATTAAGCACAACCAATTAATGTTAATTCCAAATATTAATAAATAATATAATAGCATATAAACACTAAAATGACACTGGTCTAGTGAGTAGAAAATCTGTAAATAAAGAAATAAAGAAAGAAATTTGTAGTATTAAATATTTCCAGGATAGACTGACATAAACCTGTAATATCTAATCAACGTGATTAATTAGCTCTACTAGGTTCAGCTAAGTTGCATAAACTAGTCAAATAACCATGAATAACCAGGTTCTAGAGCTAGAAACTATAAGTACAAGCTGGATTTTCCAGAAAGAACAGCTGAATTAAGTTTAAATGTGCTTTTAAGAAAGGAAAATCCCAGGTTTATGCCAACTTATCCTTAAAAACTTGTTCTGCTATCCAATTAAGAGACCTCTGAAGAAAATAACCCTGGGATCGACATTATCTTAGGTTTGTCATTTCATCTTGGGTTATAATAAATCTTCCAAATAAAAGAAGTAATATCATGAAAAAGAAAGATTATAAAAACTCTCCAAGAGGCTTTTACCTAAAACAAAATGTTTAAGGTGCTAAATAGAATTTTTCATTTTTCATTCATTTCATTTTTACAGCAGCTCCCCAGCGATGATGAGTAAAACACATATGGAGGAGCTCTATTAATATTTCATCAAGTGACCGCAGGCTTTTACATTAAAATGCTCTCTGCCTGAAATCATACTGCAGACGATTTCTGCCAACTGTATTTTGCATTTGTAAAATGAATAACTATAAGCAGAAGCTTAACAGGAAAAAAGCGGCTTTAGACTGCCAAAACCGGAAACGTCAAGTAAGAGAATAATAATTATAGTTTTAAGAAGAGCTTATGGTATTAGTGCTTCTCCTGTCACAATAAACACACACACACGCACACAAACACTCATCTCTCTGTCAGAGGCGTTTAATTCAAGACCTAAAGCTAGAATACCCTTCTCTACTGCAACGTAATACTCCTACTTGAACCTTCGAATGTCCGTTTACCTTTAAAATCAACATGAAATTACATTTGCAACCTATCGTACTTCTAAAACATGCTAGATTTTCATGTGAAACCATATTTTAACCATAAGACCTTTTTTTTACCTTTGCAATAACATGCACTCGTGCACGAGTAGACCAGAAGCATGTGTTATGAAAGTAAATACGGTCATTTTTGATTTCATGTTGACTTTAAATGAGCAGCTTCAACCTCAGCATGTAAAATATTCTGCTAATTTGAAAAATGCAAATAGTTTGAGAGGAAAGCAAAGTTGTGGATGTGTCGTCTTTGCACAGAGGACGTGGTGGGTGGAGGAGAGGGAAAGCGTACCGTTTTGCCTTGCAGAGACTGTGCGGTGATGCTCTGTGCGGGAGGAACTGGCCTGCGCTCGGCAGGATAGGAAAACTGACAGAGAGAGAGGAAAGCAGAGCAATCATCAGGACCGTTCTGGTGGAGAGTGCACTAAACCTAAAGGCTCGGTCATTTAATGTGATCTGGTAACTACACGCTCAGACAAAAAACAACAACTACTGTGTCACCGAAAAACATCTGTGAGCAAGATTCTGATATAAAAGGCTATAAATGGAAATAAAATGGATATAGATATAAATGCAAGGTTCCCACTTTTTCAGTCATGATTGTTGCATTTTTACTATTTATTAAATTTTTACTGTTATTATTACGATTATTATTAGCATTATTGGGAATATCAATATACTGTCAACTAAAATGTATTTTTGTTGACTAAATTATAAGGACATTTTAGAGTAAAAGGGACTAAAAGTAACGAGTATAAAATTAAATATTGACAAAATATTTAATACATTTAAAGAACATTTTCATCAAAAGACAACTAGGACTAAAACAACAACAACAACAAAAAATTGAGTAAAATCAAAGAGTAAAAATTGGTGCAATAATATAGAAATAAGATATATATATA